GACGACGTCAACCGTCATCCAAACGAGGAAGCGGAGGGGGCGGAATCTGCACCCGGGCAGCCACCTCAACAACCTCCGCAACCGCCCGCGAAGTCGTTTTCCGCGTTTACGATGCTCTACCGGAGGCTGGAGGATGCCTCACGGATCGCCGCGTACATCCAGGAGCATGTCTCGGATAAGGTCTTTCACGATCCCAAGCATGTTAACCGGCTTTTACAGGCTCTTAGCAACCGCCCAGAGTCACTTTACGAGGAGCTGATGCGAGATTTCAAGAGCGAGGTCGCTTTTTTGCTCGAGAAGCTTCTTACGTTGTATACATTGAACTCGAAAACGTCCATGACTCCGCAAGCGCATGAGTTTATCATTCGCTGTGAGCAACAAGGGGTCCGTACGGCGGCCTGGGCAGCAGATCTTCAGCCCATTAGCGGAATGGAGCCTTCTCTGCTGACACCACGGGAGCTTCTCAAACGGCTTTCTACGGTCGACGTTGTTGGGCATCTTCAGCGTCGGATTGAGCTTTGCGCGGAGGTTGATGCGATGAGTAGATGCGTGAAAAAAATGGAGAGTCTTTTCTCTCCACCGGAGGATGGGTCGGGGGGAAACCAAATAACTTATGCGATCCAATGTCAGCTCAACAGTAAGCTCATTTCCAAGGCTCGTCGTTTGCTAACAACCCCCGGCGAGCCTGCGAAGCCGGAGACGCATGAGATGGAGGACAACCCTACCGCTTTAGGGGATCCCGCCACAGAGGACGACGTGAAGCCCACGCCCGGCGTGATTATCCCGCTGATGTCGGAGCAGCGGGATCGCTTTAAAGACGTCGTCGCCCGCGCGTTGCGTTTGTTTCAGCGCACCCTCGACTCCACGCCGTCGGGGACGGGAACACATCAGCCGATTTTAAAATGGGGGCGCTTTGCTAATTGGTGCGCCGCGCACGACCTCATCCACGCCGCGGATTTGGCAACGGTTCAGGCGTTGGAGGAGCGGCGTAACGCCGAGATGCTTTCTCAAGTAAGCCAGTTAGAGACCGTGATGAAGCTGAAGACGCTGAAGGAGGGGCCTGAGGAGGAGCTCCGTACTCTGGTCGATGAGCTATGGCGAAATGGTGGAAAAAAATGCCTTCGACCGTGCAGTTTGGATGTGCTTTCCTGCCTCGCGACCGCTGCTTCTGGGAAGTACGTTTCGCAAGAAGTGAAAAGCCTGATCGCGGATCGGCTTGTTAAGACTCAGGCGTTTGCTGCCAATCCAGAGAATGGAGAGGCGACGGAAAGGATTCAACTGCCTAGAAGGGCCCTTCGCTTCGTGAATGAGCAGCGCGACAGCCAGCAACATGAAATTACGACTAACCAGCGCCTCGCCGCCGAGTCGTACACATCTGATAAAGACAAAAAATAAGATGGGGCATCAAACAAGCCACATGAAGCGCGCTACTGGTTTTGATTTGGCTCCTTTCTCATTTGCAGCTGCGGCTATCAGTGTCGTCCAGTGAATGATAGTAGTACTACTGATGAATGCACTTTGCGTGCTTGAAACGATAATAAGATATAATAATACGTTTAAGAAAGTTATGGCGTCCGGTTAGTTCTGTATGTGCACCATCGTTAACGCTTTTGTCGTCGTTCCTTCCTTCTGACCAGTTGTTTCTATTATTGGATTGGGATTATTCGTGCATTTGACGATATCTAGATTATTTATGGTTGGTTTGATGGATACCCTGCCATGCAGAACTACTTTCTAATATCTAAAGCAATAAAATGAAAAGGGGAATTTATGGACCTTGCGCCTTTCATAAGGTGTGGAAAATCGGTGAATTGATAAATGGAATAGCTTCGATCTTACTGTCCATTCCTATGCTTGCCACTACTGTTGTTGTTGAGGAAACGGATATCTTATTATAGAAGGCCTAAGTGTTGTATTTTTCATAGCCCTTAAAATAAGGGTGAGCAGTAGTCAGAAAAAAAGAAGAAGAAGCAGAAAGTCAACCCGATTATCCCCGATGAGTTCATTAGGTATCGAAAAGCTGAATCAAGGTCTTTCCCGGATTGTCAGTATCCGGCGTCGCCCTGAAATTCGCCGGCAGTACGTCGAGCGCCTCACGAAAGGTCGGGTGTTCCGCATCGGCACCCTCCACAACCGGGAGCTGAGCGAGGAGGTGCTGCGGCGTAACCGGCGAGGCTTCACCAACGCGCAGCTCAACACCGTCGCCTTCGCGCCCTCGCTTTATCACTGGCTTTTTCACCGCTGCGGGATCCCTTTCGCGGAATCGCAGCGCCTCGTCGAGCAGGGGCGGCTTCGCGTCGACGACGTCCTCGTCACGCGGACGCGGGAGCTGGAAAGCCAGCTCGAGTGGTCGACCTTCCAGCGGCTGGATATTCAGCTCCGCCCTTTTCACGGGTCAGGCGAGGTGGCGTGGGTTCCCGCCCTCAAACGAGCCCTCCACCGCAGCTATCAGTTTTTGTATCTCGACCGCGGCGTCTCCCTCTCCTCAGAGGAGGCAAATCCGCGGAGTTTCATCCATCGCGTCGTCACCGCGAGCGCGGTGGGGGGTTCGTCTTCGAGCGGAAGTAATCGAAGTGGGCGGGCGGAAACCGCCGGGATCAGCCCGGAGGCGGCCCTGGGGTTGAACGTGCTGCGTCCGATCGGTTTTATCGATGGCCTCAAAGGCCTCGGCATCATCACGAACGATGTTTCGATGATTCGGAACTGGAATAATGAGTTTTTGGGGAATTACGGTGTCTACGATCTTCGTTTCCCGCGCGGGGCACCAGTAGAGGTGATACGGAACGCCGCCGAGGATATCACGCGGACTTTAAAAGAGGGCATCCAGGCGCAGCTCGCCTCGCTCGCGGGTGCTCCGTCGATTCCGTGCGTGTGCGCCGTGAAGCCGTCGCCGCCGCGGGCGCAGGATTTGGTTTCGGAGCTCCACCGTGATATCGCGCTGCTGCCGGAGCGGATTCTCGTGAGCACCCCTCTCATGCCGTATCGACTGGTCAAGCGTCTTCAACGCGCGCAGTGCTTAATCGCGTTGGTTCGCTCCGGGCCTTTTGTGCTAACGCAGCCATTGGTGCAATCCCGATCCCCGCGTCCTCTCTCACCGGCCGAGCTCGGGATTTTATTCACCTTTGAGAGGCGCTTAAAAGTAAACCGAATGGTTTTAAGTCTGAGGCAGTTTGGGGAAGAGGATTAATCAAGAAAAGCGAGCCGAGTGAATATAGACATATCTATTTATGGATCCGATTGGCCTCTTTTTTTACCAGATCTTTCCGTGAGCAGATGAAAGGATTACCTCATCGAGGGATACATGATTTGTTAGAAGAATAGAGGTGGGGATACGTAAACACGTCAAAATACATCTATAAACTGATTTCTATGACACACTCTTTTTCCTCTAGCACCACCTAAAGAACAAAGAAACCTTTCCTCACGTTGCCCGTTATTTTCTTATTATTTATTCTACTGAAGTCACCGGCGGTCAGGTGCAAATTGCATCATCTCAGTATATATATACCCCCCTTCCCCCCCCTTTTTCGCTATTGCTGTACACACACACAAAAAAAAAAAGAAGAAACGTTGATAGGTTGTCTATGTTGAAGCATGTCTTGGGCTTCTTTACTGGCAAAGAATAAGGAAAAGTCGATCGACTTTGGGGCTCCCCAGCAACGCGTCTACGCGAAGGATGACTCGATCGGCGAGGCTGAGCGCCGGCTGCAGAATCTTGGACATGAGATCGTTTCCAACATCACCCTTCCTTCCTATGAGAAAGGACTTTTGGTGCTTGATGCGAATGCGATTATCAAAGGTATGGATAACTTTGTTTCCATCTCGGATGCCCTCGTTACGACGGCCCAGGTCATCGCGGAAATTCGTGATCGGACCTCTCGCGAGCTGCTGGAGAAGCTGTCGAGCTCTATTGTGGTTTTAGATCCCACCCCAGACTCCATCCACGCCGTAATCGAGTGCGCAACGAAGACGGGTGATTTGGGGGCGCTCTCGCGGACGGATATTCGGGTCTGCGCGCTCGCGTTGGATTGCTGCAAGGCGGCGAACGCGCTGAAACCCTCGATCAAACCCCTCTTGCCGGAGGTGAATCCTCCGTCGAAGGAGATCGACGTCGTCAGCGATGAGGTCACCGACAACGACGATGACGACGAGCGCGACGGGGGCGACGACGAGGCTGACGGGCCCGCAAGCTCACAAGCGGCGGAGACCGACAGCGACGACGGCGAGTGGATCACGCCGGAGAATATTCACGAATTCCAGATGGGCGACCTCGGGCATCGTCGTGTTGGCGCGCAGGCCTTTGACGGCGGCATCGCCTGCGTCACGTCGGATTACGCGATGCAAAACACGCTGCTTCACCTCGGCGTTCCCATCGTCGGGGTGAGCGGGATGCGGATTCGAGAGCTTCGGTTGTGGCTGCTTCGCTGCACCGCCTGCTTCACCCTCGTGAGCGATACGACGCGGCAGTTCTGCCCTTCCTGCGGCTCCGGCGATACCTTGCGCCGTGTGAACTACGTCGTGGATACCGACGGCAAGAAGCAGCTTTTTATCAACTTTAGAAAACCGATTAGCACGCGTGGAACGGTTTACAACCTGCCGAAACCACGAGGGGGGAAACGGGGTACGAACCGGACCCTCGTCTTGCGTGAGGATCAGCTCGCACAGGTGATTAAAGGCACGTCGGGGGCTAAAATAAAGGAGCGGCAGGCGAATTTCACGGGCGTAAACGACGACTTAGCGGCGTTTGGGGAGCCTGTGCGGCGTAAAAAGAGAGATATCATGGAGCCAAAGACGTCGTCGTCCTACCACAAGTACAACGTTAACGAAAAGAGGAAACTGCGTGCAGCGCGGAGGAAATAGCCCTCAACGTTGTCTTAATCCTTATTTTGCTTCGTTCATTGCTATTATCATGATTAGTCTGAATAAACGAAAGGCCGTCAATACTGAATCGCCTATATGTGTAAGGGCACGTTTAAAAATTTCCTCGTTGAGAATAAAACTAAAAAAATAATATTACACAGGAAAGTCTAAATGAGAACTAAAGAAAATTAATCGAAATGAGCTTTCTCCTTTGCAGTCCATCGACGATCGCATTGATGGATGGGAAGAGGAGGATGGACCCTAGAGGGAGGAACACATCAGGAATGGATCTTCAAGGGAAATAATCACCTCTTCATTATTTTTCTCACTATTATTATTCCTACTAATGATGAAACTACCTTGCAAAACTACACAATATATAGACAACACAAAGTGATCAGAATCAATAGAAGATCACCTTGACGTGTTATGGCTGTTTTAGGATCATAAAAAACAAAGTTGTAGTCATAAGAATGACCGTCAAAAAGCCCATGAACAAGAATCTCTGGCGCTTTCTCTTGTTCACTGCCGGTTTTCACGCGATCGCGCTAATCGGACCCCTCTCGTACTCTCGCTTCGGCCGTGATAAATTCTTTGAAGCGCATTGGGAATACAGCACACCTGTTTTTCGGCATCGTAAGACGTATTGGAGGTTCTGGGATCCGACATTTCGCACGCCGGTGCTGACGGACGAGGAGAATCGTTGCCTTGGGGCGTGGCTGCAGCTCATGGAGGCGCCCGCACCGCAGCCGATGCAGGACCTCTCGCCAAACATCCGCACGCACGACACGATGGCCCTTTACGACGGACTCAAGGAGCTGCAGTGCGGGATCTACATCGTGCAGCACTGTTTGCATAAAATCACCCCGAACCTCGTTGAGTTGCGGCGGGAGATGCAGGGCGATGTGACTTTCCTTCATTTTACGCTGGAGTTTGATATGGAGGCGCGCATCCCCCTGACGCCGTGGTGCTTTTCCTGCGGCCGGCTGCCGTCGTCGGTCTCGCTGCAGCTGGGGAGGGGAGGCCCCAAACCGACTGATCCGCTCGTCATCACCGCGGTAGAAAATCGCTGGTTTAATGGGCCGATCTGGTCTTATCAGACGCGTTCCGCACCTTCCTTTTTCGGGGATATTGGGGATCTGTTTAGATGCTATAACGCCTTTATCTCTACCGTGTTTGTGCAGAGCGCGATTCCCGTAAAGCGACGCGTGGATCAGACGCGAGCATGGCTGTCGGGGATTGCAGCAGCCGTTCAGGAGGAGCAGGAAAAGCAGATTATCATGTAACTTTCTAATCGGCAATGCCCTTACCGAAGTCAGGAAGGAATGCTACGGAATACTATTGCTATTATTATTATTATTATTATTATTATTGATTGTTTTTTCTTACTCTAATTTTGTTCTTAGGATAACTTTTGTCCCGATTCGTAACGTTAGTTATTATAGACAATTCTCTTCCACATTCTTTGACCCGTTGTCAGCAAAAATAATTATATGGATATATTTATGCATGCGTGCTCTTTAGATCATTCTGCTTTCCTATGCTCCCTATAGCTTTGTTACTGTAGTCAAATTAAACTGTAGGATTCTAGGCATATAAATAGAGGTGTTCGCGAGCTTTTATTAGTCAGTCTGTGCATAACTATCGAACAGCTGAGTGGCGTCTTCCGAATTTCACATCGGGTGATTCCTCCTTTTATTTCCATTGGTGTTGATTTGTTCGGGGGTTGACTGATCTTTTAGACTCGACGGAGAAGTCGCGCCATGCTTCGCCGCACACTTAGCCGGTTCATGGCGTCGGAATCGATCGGGATCGCGCACCCGGATGTATTGTGGGGGCATATGCAAGGGCAGTACGCCGGTCCGGGCTGGTCGTGCTACCTCAAATCCCTTCCCATGGAGTGCTTCATGATGCAGGGCGGGTCCACGATGACGAACGTCAACGACCGCGAGGGCTCCTACGTTGATCCCGAGGACCCCCGCCACCCGCTCGCGTTGTTGCAATTCGGCCCCAACGGCCACTACGACGGCTCGCTGCTGCAGCTCACGTGGGGGGATTTCGGCAGCGTCTCGCGCGGCTCCCGCCTGATGCAGGCGCTCTACGACGCCTACCTGGAGCCCTTCTCGATGAATCGCGTCTGCGCGCAGCTTTATTTTTATCAAAAGGTGCCGAACAACTACCACGCCTCGGTAGAAGCGTCCGCGGAGTACATCGGGCAAACCGCCGCGCTCATCGGGCAGGTCGTCGTCGGCATCGGCAGCTGCATCATGGAAGGGGTGACGGTGAAAGGGGATACCAACTGCGTTTACATCGCGGAGGGGGTGCAAATTTTAGAAAACACCTGCATCGTCAGCGACGCGCCGACGGATCTTCTCGCGTATCAACGCCACGAGTTGCTCAATCCTTATCAGCAGTGGGATGGCATGGATGGGGTTTGCCGGATCATGCCAAACACCATCATCGAGCCGAATTGTTTTCTCGATAGCTGCTCGATCGGCAGCTTCAACCGTATTGGGCATAACACGAAGATCCTGAAAGGGGTGGTAACGGGGATTATGGTGCATATCCTGCCCGGCAGCGTCGTAACCGCGGATACGAAGATTAACGACGGTGAAATATGGGGTGGCGCACCGGCGCGGAAGGTGGGGGAGGTGGGGAAGTTTGAGTGGAAGCGACCGTACTACCCCTCGCTTCTGCACAAGGAAAGCGTGAACGAGTCGTATCGGAATATGTCGCGCTACGGCGACCAGGTCGTGCACTTCGAGAACGCCATGGGCGAGTTGGAATCGTTGATGATTCGGTACGAAGACGATATCGACCCGGAAACGAAGGCGAAGATACGCGATTTCGAGGAAGGTCGAGAGCCCTTTCACCACATGGTAACGCGTATCACGCAGGGATGGTCGCCCGCTGCGCGGCCGGATGAACGGAACTACAACCTGACGCCACCCCTCCCCGCCGTGAAGCTCTATGCGGAGCACAATAAGGACTCCAGTGATAGTAATCTCCACGGTACGTATAAGGATCTAACTAACTTTTTCAATGATTTTAGATGGTAGGACGCCTTATGGTCGTTTAAAGGGGAAGGGGAGGCGGGTCTCGCTTTTTCTTTTTCTCCAACCTTTCGATTTGAGCAATGAATCTTATCATTATGATTAGACTTATATCCCGGATCCAATTGGTCTAGGCGATTGCGATCTTCTTATCTTTCGCCCTTATTTGTAGCAGTATAGTAGTATATGTAGTTTGAAAGATGGTGGGTGTAAGGATGTGAGTGAATTGATGCAATAGAAACAATCCTCCATTTCCTCTTAGTATTTACAGGCATTACTGTTATCGTATAGCATCCCTTGGGGCTACTTCTTTTGATATAAAAAGTTGCTTGTCTTCCTTCTCCCATTTGTTCATTATTATTAGTGTTCTTTTTATTAGGAACTGTTGTTGGCATGGACGTTTGCTATTGCCGCTATTTGTATTTTGATGATTTCCCTTCTGCACAATTAATAGTGCGCTAGTGAAAAGTAGCTATGAAAGGAACTAAATAAAAACCTGTGCCTCTCTTTTTTTTTTTGCAGCTCTTATCCATCAGAATAACCGAAACCCTATTGCGTTCACGAATTTTTACACACATTGTTTCTAAAATTTCCATTTTTCGAACATATATAAATATTTCTATGCTCTTTTTGTATTCATGCTTTCTCTAGTGTAGACAAGACATGCAAAGGAAGGTGAAACAAAAAGACAACGCTCTGATGTTAAACCAAGAAATAGTAGATTTTGACGCGCTGTCTATAGAAACCTCTCCCGCTTTTAGAAGTAGCGCACCTTTGGGAAGAACCGATGCTTGGGAATTCGACTTTCCCGTAAAATCTTGTAGCGCCATCGAGATACGTGGCCTTTTTGAGGACCTTCATGATAAAATTCAACGACTTGAAAGCGATTTTGTGCGTATGCAGAATCAGCTAAAGCGATCGAACCAACATGGCCACAGCCATTGCACACAGCTTGCTGAGGTGTGCAAGGATTTAGAAAATTTTTTTTTGCACGATGCTGACGTATTTATCACGAACCCTGTAGACGAAAGTGGCTTTGAGGGACCATCACAAGACTCATTGCCGAGCCCCGACGCACTGTCGGATCCCGTGAGGAATCTCCTCCACAACTTTAGGGAGGAGATCGAGCGTCAAGGGGAGCGGACGGAGCGCCGGTTGAATCTAATGGAAACTAATCTTGCCGAGCTCAAGCAAACTATTTCGGAAAATCACAATCAAGCTCTCTTAGAGGTTAAAATGTGCGTTGAGAAGTACACAGAGAATATGCTGCAGCGCTTTTCACTGGAAAGGAAGGCAAGCTTGGAGGACTTATATCAACCTCTTAGAGATCATATTGCACTGCTAGAGCGCGAAATCACACGTAGACTCGATCAGGCTCAGTGCTTCTGCAATGAGAACATCGATATGCGTATTCAGGGCCTCCATGCGGAACTCGCTGAGAGCGCTGCTCGGAAGGCGACTTCATCTGCCAAAGTTGAGAGTATTCACCACTGCGTGCGCGCACTGGAGTCATCCATGCAGGAAATGGTGGATAAATGGGATAGTCAACAAATCCAACTATCTCGGGATGTTCACGAAGCTCATTTGTGTATTCAACACCAGCAGGACGAGCTTAAGCGTATGAATGAAACGCTGAAGGAACACGGTGAACAAATAACTGAGCTGCAGCGAAATGTCCCCTTGGATGGGGCCTTTCAGGAAATCAAGGACTGGCTCACAGATTTGGAAAAGCGTGCAGTCAACCATGGTGGGATGCAGAAGCAAAAGCAGAGTGTGGAAGCTCAACTAGCGGAACTTCGAAAGGACCTTCACTTGGCGACCTCGAAGACGGATAGAAGTGAATAAAATTTAGCCCCACGTGAACGTGCTGCTTCTTAGATGTCACATCTCATTTGATCGACGCATTCTCTCGCAATGCACATACACCCAGTTGTTAATGAAGAATATATCAAACCATAGATTTACCATACCCTTCATTTCTATAAAATTTATCCTCTGTTTATTTTTTGCGCATTTGGATGGGTGCCATTCATACCTATGCTCTAGCCAATGAAGGTGGTGCCCCCTTCTCTAGAGTAGCATATATTGCCATTATTTTTACTATTAATTCGACTTAATTTGTGAACACAAAATATTGGATTTGCATTCTTTTCTTCTTCACTATTATCATCTTTGCGGCACTTAAGGTGTGTATACATGTATAGAGAAATAGGGTGACGTTTGAACACGTAGTTTATACCTGGTTAGCAACCATCATTAGAAACATTTTCACAAACCCCACAAATGTACACTCAAAAGGAGGAGCTTAGTATTGGCGACAATGTCCTTAACAAGCTAAAGAAGGACTTTGAGGAGGTCATGCAGGCCCTCAAGGAAGAGGAGGGCCATGAGTACTTCCAAGCGGAATACGAGAGGATTTATCATGTTCTCAAGAAGAGCCACGAATCGGAGAAGATGCTGATCGCGGAATGTCAGAAAATGACGCAGGAACTGCTTGGCAACGCGGCGAAGATGCAGGCCGCGGTGAAACTATCCCAAGGCGATCACAGCATGATAGAAGCCCTGAAGCGAGAAATAGAAAAGGCATGGCAGGTTGTCGACAGTGCAAACGATAAGGACCAGCGTGCTCGAGAAACAGTCGTCTCGCTTAGGCAGGAAATTGCATCACTGCAGTCGCTCATGGAAGAAGGCTCCATGCTCACCTCAGATCACACGTCGAATTTAGACCAATTGAAGATGGAAACCAAACGACTGCAAACGGAGTGTGAGGAAATGTCTAAACGAAATGCCAAATACAGCAAAAGTGTTACCGAGTTGAAGGCTCAAATAAAGGAAGCCGAAGAAAACATGCATAGCTACGAGGAAGAGCTCGCGCGGTTGGAGGATCATTACAAATTGACTAATCAAGAGTACAACCGCGAGCGGGGTGCACGGGAGCGCGCCGAATATCAGTGCAAAGAACTCCTTTTGGTTCTCAGAACAAGGGAAAATGAATTAACCACTATACAGGAACGTCAAAGGGTATTAGAAAAAAACATCTCAGACCATCGTTCTGAGATTAACATAGCGTTGGAAAAGAAGCAGGCCTTGGAGAAGAAGCTGGAGACAGCGGACCGACAGCTTTTTCATACGCAGCAGTCTTGCAACGATAGCGTTGACACGACGATGAGCCTCAATGAGCGGCTCCAGGAAATGAATCGGAAGATTGTAGAACTCGATCGAAAAATCCTTGAGGCAGAAAGTGAGCACGAGCGCGTTCAGCGCATAAAGGACCGCGATATCCGTGAACTCGGGCGATTGCAACAGCAGAATGATAGTATTCGACGGGAACAAGAAAATATATTGCACCAACGCGACCAGGTTCGCAAGAGGATTGAATCGCTCGTGACAGAAAGGGAGAACTTTGAGAAGGCGCATTCTATCATCCTCAAGGAGTGCGCAGATATTGAGAAAAAAGGTGAAAAGGAGGTTCAGAGGCAGAACGCCATCCAATCCCGCATCCGAATTGAGACCGAGAATCAAAAGGAGCTTGAGGGGTTCATCCAAGAGCAACGCCAGATAGAGGCAGGTCTTTTAGAAACCCTTTCACGTTTCGAGAAGGAGACTACACAGTGCGTGGATGAGAGCTCGCAGGTCGCGGCCGACCACCTCAACACGCAGGATGAGCTCCTGGCGGCCGTCGCGGCGGTCGAGGAAACGAAAAAGCGCATCGATGAGAGCGAAGCGAATCTGTCGAAACAGCAAGGCGCGTACGAGCAGGTCCGCGCAGAGCGTAACCAGTTCTCGAAGAAGCTCATCGAAACTCAGGACGAGGTCGTCGAACTCAAACAGAAGTTCAAAATGATGGATCACCAGCTGCTGCAGTTTAAGGAGGAGCTTCAGATCAAGGAGCGGAAGGATCAGGAGGAGGTCTACACCCAGAAGAAGATAACGGAGCGGCTGGCGAAGGCGCAAAAGCATGTGGATGAGGAGGTGATGCTTTTTGAGGCGACGAAGACGAAGTCCGTCTCTATCGGGTTGAAGATAAAGCAGCTAGTGAAGATTGTCAGTAACTGTGATCAGGAGCTTTCGGCGCGACAACAGCAGCTCCTGAAGGTAACACACAATCGAGATATGCTTGGTACGCAGCTGGTTCGGCGAAATGACGAGATCGCATTGCTAAATGAAAAGCTCCGGTTGCATCATGAGGCATTGGTCGAGGGTGAGGCTGCTTATCGCGAGAGGGTAGGGGATCTGCGTCTCCTGAGGTTTAAGATCTCCGAGATAGGACGTCAGGCTAACCTCGCTAACTCACGCCTGCGGGATCTGAAAGAGAGTAAGGAGAACCTGCGAAATCTAAGAAGGGAGCTTGAGATGGAGAAGACAAAGGCCATCGCACTATCTGAAGAGATCGAAGACCCGCAAAAGCAATCTAGGCGGAAGATAGAAGGTAAGGATCCGTCGATCGAGGACCTCCAGGAAAGACAGCGAGTCTTGCGAAAGCGGCTCATTTCCAAGTCCGAGGAATGTCTAGAAAAAGAGCTTATACTGGATGAAAAGAAGCGTCTGGTGACCGAGCTCCAAAACGTCATCGCCAATCAGCTCGGACCGGAGGTGGTGCGGCATCTCAACAGCTGCCATCACGAGTTGCAGAAGAGGGCCACATCGATGAAGGCAAAGGCCTCAGAGCTGAATATGACCACCACTCACATTACGGAGTTAAAGTACGAAGCGGAGCGCCTTCGTCGCGAGCTGCACGACATGAAACGTAAGTTTTACGAGGTAAAGATCAAGAATGATACCATGGCCAATACCTTCCTTCTAGACAACCCCCGTAACGTACGTAAGCAGCCCCCACCGGGTGACTCAGATTCATTTGATACCGTAGTAAATGGGAAACCCCCAGCACTCTCGAAGCGAAACAAATTCTAAGCGGCAAGCCTTTTTCTGTACTCGCGGATGCGCTTTATGAACCTTCATACTTTTCATCAGTTTTTTTTCAGACCAGTATAAATACGTGCATATGAATATGAATGTGTTTATATGTGACATTAGAATAACGGAATAGGAGGATTCATAAACAGGAAAATTGAGCTACACAAGGTAGTATTTATGTAAATTAATATTTTGATGCGTTCCTTTCATACTTTGTTTTGAGGGAGCGGTTTCTCATTGCATTACGAAATTGGTTTAGCCAAGTAAATATGTCTAATGAACGCATCCAATGTTCAGTACGTACATTGTAAATTATTCAAATGTGGAAGTACTTTCTACTAAACGTGTGTACGTATACATGTTGCTTGAAAATGTGCTGCCTATCCTTGTATAGGTACACTCATAATGATAGCGGAAGGAATGATGCGCCAAGAAACAAGAATACTGTTCAAAATTCACTGTGGATCTCGCTATACGGGTTGACTACATAAAAATCAGTACCTAGACAATTGCTAAGTCAGGTCATCTTTTTGTACCCTCCTCTTCCCTTCTATACGAAATGACGTTTAGCTTTTGCATTCAATAAAAGGTCTCTACTCCCAAGGAATATCACCGC